CAAACTATAGCACACACACACATCACAACAAACAAACTGGGGAAATTCCAGGGGAGCATCGGAGGGGCAGCGAAAAGTCAGGAACAACAATGCGCCACTATGGTCTATGGAGCATCCCCAAACCATTCAGCATCCAGCATTTTGCATCACCCATCTCCCAGAGCCCCAAGCAAACGGAGGGGGAATGCAGATGCAGGGGGGGCGGGAAAGGGATTCAGCAGGACTCTGGACTCGGGAGCAGGGATCCTGGGGATCCTGAGTGGGCAACCAGGAGACAGGCGGCAAGGGCTGGCTGCTGCATATTTTTGCAACACAAAATAAACCGCAACAGCAGCAATTTGCGTCGGTTGTTAGTTTGGAGAGTTGCTTAAAATTTACATGGACAGCGAGCACACATGACTAGACAGCCGATCTATGGGCTATATGGACACGAATGAGGATGCGGATGCGGATGCGGATGTAGATGCGGATGGGGATGCGGATGCATATGCATGTGTGTGTGGCCACACAGGACAGGGCGCTGCGCCATAACTGAATAAAGTCCATTTTTAAACAATTACCTTTAGAAGTGCTTTTACGGCAACGGAAGTTGATGGTCAACCCGAAAGTAGCCTCACCACCAAATATTTTCCCAAAAAAAGAAGCAAAATATATTCTGTAACTTAGGATACTTGCTAAGGATTCTGCGGAGGCCTCTCGATTAACAGCCATTAAAGCGGCCTCGTGCAGGATTTACATTCCCGGCAAACTCTGTCCCAGTCCGCAATCAATCAAATCCAATCTAGGCACACATTCCCTCACATACTGAGGCAATCAGGAGCAGGTATTTGACTTCTGCCATCCCACACAGATGCACTGAAAAGAAATAGGAACTAAGTTACAGAAAAAAGCATCCTTTTATTAAAAACATATATTAGTTTACATACTTTTTATCAGGATTGTTGAAGAAAATGTAACTTCAGTGGATTTTGGGCAAATTTTCTGTTGAATTCTGTCCATTAAATGTAAATCGTAAATCAAATGATCGGTTATTTTATGAAATAATTTATAATATTTAATAATTTAAAGTGTTTCTTAAAACTTAATTAAAGAAGAATGTATCCTTAGTTGCGATTAACATCTTTAAAAACATTTTTATCACCATCAAAATCTGTTAACAATATATTTGCCCTAAAACCATATTTATTGTAGAGAAATTGTATGGTATTTATTTTAGTTAATCAACATTAATTTAATACATTTTCCCACCATTTAGATTTAACCCTATGTTGATTGTCAGCCAGGCAAAGGGAATTAGCACAAATGAGAAATAAAGAACACCCTTTATTATCCTGATTTCGGTGGCCACGAGCTGCTTTCTTCCCGTGTGCGAATTACTCGCAAATCAAGCACAAGTTTTTGTGGTGCCAGGCAAACTTCGCTCCCGTCAACGGCATCCAGGCATCCGAGAATCAGGCATCAGGAGTAGAGTCCGTGAGTGGGCCACCACGGCGGATACGTGATGTGCCTCTGCAATAACGAGAACTATAATAATTGTAACCGAAGGACACACGGAGTTGCAGGGGAAGTGCTGGCTTTTATTTGTTGAGTGCTTTTCAAGGTTGTCGCCTCGCTCGGAGATTCCCAGACAGCGCTTTCCACTTATGTTGGTAGTACCTATCCAAAAAACAGGGAAAGCGGGAAAAGTGCAGCTTGGGAAACTTAAGAGATAACGAATGGCAGAAGAAGAAACCTTAAACGGAACATACATTGTAATGGGAGCAACATCAATGCCCAAAAGCGAAGTTACGCATGCGTAACACAACCGCCACGCCCACCGCCCACCGCTCCCCCTGAGAGCCACGCCCACTGCACGTCAGCCATCATTTTGCAGCGGGTAAACTACTCCAACTTGAATTATGAAATGTGAAAATTGTGTTGAATAAGTAAACAGAGGATGCGTTTGTGCATCATGCAACACTTGCAATACACATACACACACATATATACACTGATAGAAGGAAGGCGGAGTTGCCACGCCCCGAATTTTCAGCAACGACCTGCTGAAAAATAGACACTCCGAAGTCACGTAGCCACGAACTGAATTTCATATTTCATGGCCACCCAGCCGCCCAAACGAGCGGCAAAAAGAAAAAACCATTTAGGCAGCGATAGCTCCCACATCCCGATCCCCTTTTTGGGTGCTCCAAACCCCCCATCCCCCCTCTTAACCCCCTTTTCCAACGGTTATCCACCAACCATGCAGCCAGTTGCAATATTTGATCTAAAATATGTATGCGCCGGCGGAAATTGTTTTTGTGTTAAATGGCGGAAGCGACGGCATTGTAATTAAAATTTGCTTCAAACTTAATGGCAAGTATTTAATATACAATTGGAATTTCCCAGAACGACGGTTGAGTTGGAAATGCATCTTTGTTTTCCATTTTTTTTTTTTAAGGAATTTCTGGTCCAAGTTGTGGAACTGCTGGAGAATAGCTGGCGTAATTAAAGTTGAGGTGGAACCTAATTAAATTGCTGCACTGGGAGGTCGACCGACCGGCGATTGCGGATAATTATATATATATCATTAACTTTGATCTGGGAAAGAGGAAAAGGAAAAACGCAACTCAGAATTGGATTCTGGGGCGCATTTAACGGCAGCCTAAAAGAATGCCGTGAATTTCCCGGGCGACTTCAGTTGCATGCAAAAATATTCTCCCCGTTGGCCACCAATTTCCCCATTTTCCTCTCTCCTCGACCGGAGTTTTCCGCCCCTGCAGCTGCAGCTTTTGAACCCCGAAAAGCCACGTTTTGCATGCGTATGCATGCCTTAAATAGTTTCCACACATTAAATTTCCGGACGGTCGTCCGTTCTTTAAATGCAGAAGGAAATGCAATAAACGCCAACTAAAAGCCACGCCAAAATATTACAAAAATTACGGCAACCGAAGGCAAAGCAAAAATGGGGCGGTACTTTGGGGCGGTGGAAATTCCATGGCAAAGAAAAATGCCGAAAATGAAATGACGCTAAAAGTATCGCAATAAAAACGCATTAAAATGCCTCACCAGGGAGTAAATAATTTTGTTGCTCCAATCGCAGACATCGATGTGTTTTTGTAGCTGCATACAGGGTAAGAAAAAACTATTTCAAAGGTCAAGAAAAAATTATTTAATCTTAAGTGATAAGATATTAAACAACAAACTGTAGAATCATTTCTACAAATATCTAACCGCTTGAGATCGTATTAAAAACTTTTTAAGGTATTTTAAGATATGTTTTTAATACAAAGGCTATGGTTAATATTTGTATACATTAAAAAAATTACAAACTTAATGGAATGTAATATGATAAACTTTTTTGGTTAAAAATGGTTCGAAGTCTTGCCTACAACTTGATTACTTAACATATTTAACAATAACCAATTGGTTATCTTTATCTTTAGTAGGTATGTTTTTTTCCAAGTACATTTCGTAGACGAATATTTTGAAATACAATCGATGGTGAACAATTAGGCGCCGATTTGGAGGGGCTATAGTCCGCAGTCTGGAAATAATATTTTTATGGCCAGTGGCGCGCATAAATCGCAGACAGGCGGCGTTTAATTCAAAATGGACAGAGGAACGTGCAACTCGAACTCCGAAACTCCCGGCTGGATAGCGACTAGTTCCATAATTTATCGCTCCGTTTGATTTGAGTGCATAAATCCCCGGGCAAACGCCTTGGCCTCGGATCCAGAGTCGCCTCCTCAAAAGCTGCTCAATGAGCCGAAGATGCAGAACATTTTGTAAGGCGATGCGCTTTTAATGTGTTTATTGACTTTTCCCGGAGAAAATGGGTGTTTCGATGGCTGGCTTCTCGGATATTATTGCAATGGGTGGGCTTAGATGAGCAGCTGAGGGATTAGGCCAATCAATCAAATGCTATCGAGTTAATTAAACAAGATGCTGCCGTAGAAGCCGAGTATTTGGGTCAATTGTTTGCACTTAATGGCAGGGTTCATATTTATTGCAGGAAAAATCCAAATAAATATAAAGCAGTGAGGTGAAGTGTGTTTGTCAATTGTAAGTGTTAATATGAATGTGGGTGTTTAGAATTTCGCCTCAACTGTAATTGAAGATGAAAATTCACATGAAATTCCTCTTAGTTTGGCAGGCAACTAATCTCCTTTTCCAGGAAGTGGGCGAGTTTGCATAGTGAATGCAATACCATTTGGCGAATTGTTCTCGAAGGACACAGGAATCCATTGAAAGTAGCTCTTCGGTTCGGACAACCATACAAAAAACAATAACAATAACTATTGAATATGCATATTAAAAATGCAGCACAGACTTAATTAAATTTCTACACTCGATGAAAGGAAAAACCACGTACAATCATTGGCTACAAAAACTTCAATTGCAAATTACAGAATTTGCCAGCGAAGACAAGTGAATAGCAAGTTAGAATAACTCCAGTGCACATTACTCACAGTATTAAATTCCTAAGGAAATATTTGTGCAACAGTCATCAACACTTAAAAAAACTTTACCTTAATCACACACACTATTAGATATATTGCCCTTAGTTTATTTATTTGAAGAAAAACGCACAAAGCTTTGAAAATGATTTAAAAGTTTTTATAACTTAGAACACCTTTAAATTAAGCTTTTTTTTTTAATTTATTGTACGTATATTTAGTTAAGTGTTGTTTTGTAAGCAACAATAGTTGTATTCATTGATTGCAGTAGCATTTTTATCCTTGCTTTTTGTATACCATCTTTAATTGGTTTCTTTGAAATAAAAACATGACAAAGGGCCATTCTCAATATGCAGTGGCTACAAAAGTTGTTCCATTAACTTTATTTTAAACAAAGAAAAAAGGTAAACAAGTTTTTTTTATATTTTGAAAGGTTATTTCTCAAGTTTAGCTTAAGCACTAAAACAAAAACAATGACAAGATTTGCCGGAAAAACTGCCGCCTGACATTCGAAAAATAGCTCGATCTGATTGCTGAACGAAAAACGGATATCGCTCGCCTTTAATGTTTCGCTTCTACAAGTTGTACTCGCTGTACATGAACAACATGGCCAGCGGGCATTCGATGCAGAGGGAGTGGTGTCTGTGCGAGAAGCTTCCCCGGGCGGTGCTCCACATCCCTGTGAACCGTCATCTGTTGTGCGAGGTGTGCGGTTTGGCCAGACGCCCCATGGCCGAAGTCAGATCCTCCAGCGACGAGCTGTCCGCCGAACGCCAGAGGATTCTCCTGAAGCAACCTTCCGTGGTGAAGCCCAAAAAAGCCAAGTGACTGGGATGAAGGTGGGCATCAAGGGCAGGAAACCCGCGAAAGCCAAGGCCACTTGTCAGACAAACTGCATCAAGTGTGGAGGTGTGGAGAGGGCAACTGCCGGGCAGGAAGATATTGGTGATACTGGTGGACCCCAAGTGGTTAAAAGCAAGTTATACCCGGGTAGATGTGGACTGTATGCAAAGCCAAAGAAGATGCCACCTCGCCAACAGGAAGCCACTGTGCCGAAAACTAAATTGGAGTCAACACATTTACAGTCACGATCACCACCACTACAAACAGGGTCACCACCACTGCAAACGAGGTCACCACCACAACAAACGGGGTCACCACCACAACAAACGGAATCACCACCACAACAAACGCGGTCACCACCACTGCAAACGAGGTCACCACATCTACAATCGATGTCACCACCATTAGAGTTCGATTTGCCACCACTAGAGTTGGGGTCACCACCACAATCGGAGTCACCACCACCACCACAAAGATCGGATTCACCACTTAACCTGATGAACATGACCGAAAACGTTTTCAACCAAAGCAACTACCAAAGTTATAGTAATATGTTTGAAAGCAACTTTATTCCGCTGACGAATTCCATTATGAATGCCCTTGGAGGAGCTATTTCCAAGAGGAGCAGCTACTGTTCTCATCCCCTTCGGTGCCACAGGAGTGGTCCTTTGCCCCCACTCGCCAAAGTGGTTAGTAATATTTTGGGCAGTCAAAATTCACCAGACGAACGGGAGAAGGGCGGTGGATTGACTGCAACAAAGTCAAAGGATTCACTGGATATCGAAAGCGAGCTGGCCAGCCAATTCTGTCCCTTTGATCACTACGAAGGTCCTTCCGAAGATGCTCTCGTCGCGAACAATGCTCGCTATCTTCTCCATCGACCGAAATCACTTTACATTGATCCACGACGGGATTTGCCCAATAATCGTATTGAAAACTTAAAATTTGAGCTCAACAGTGGCCTGGAGCCCTTGATGGTTTCAACATCCGAAAGCGCATCTGGCATTCAGCAACCTTACTTTTTCATGTCGAAATCAGTACGCAAAAATCTGGTAAGGACCATCAACCAAATTGGGATCGACTCTAACAGCTTAAGCAACAGCTCCCCGAGCAGAGATACCTCCAATCCTTCAAACCAACAAGAAAGTCCTGTAGAAAACAATGAAAATGATAAGGATAAAGTAACTGCGACATCATCCTCCATTTTTGCCTCTCTTATAGGTCAAATAATGAGTCCACGTTCTTCAAAGAACTCCCCAATTACTTTAGAAGATTTTCAAATTGTCAAGGACTCCAAAATGGAGCAGGTGGATAATACTAAGGAGGCAAAGAATCCGTCCAGCGATTGTGAATCCAGTTCTTTGTTAAGTGATGTATTAACTGAACAGCCTGTACTTACCTCTAATAAAACAGCGAATGATCAAGATTATTTCAATCTCTTCTCAGCAGCACTTACCAATATTTGGGAACGGGAGTTTGATAAAATAGAGGATTCTTCATCAAAAACAAATAGTAAAACGGATGTTAAACTTATATCTTCAAAGTGCAGCCGTTGCGGACAACATAAGGAAAATAATCCCAAAATAAACACTGGTAAAAAAGGAATTCCTGAAAAAATTGATAAGTTGGAAAAATTAGATAAGCAAGTAACCTTTAACCCGACAATTGGAAGTGCAATAATTCAGAGACTTAATAGCTTTAGAGCTTTTCCTAGTAAAAGAGAACTGCCAAAACAGTATAATGAGAATGGGAAGTTACTAGATCAAAAGACTGAGAAGGATAAGGACATAAATGGCTTTTTAATATCTAAATCAGATAACATATTCGCGAAGAGTAATTATATAAAAAAGCAACCCATTAACATAAAAATTCAAAGACGCGAACATGGAGTTTGTCATGTGCATTCTGTTTCAACACATTCTTCCTGTAAAATCCATTATGGTAAAGAAAATGTAACAAATAATTTACATACGAAGAGAATGGAAATTAATAGTAAGTTAAAACCCAACGAAAGACAAGTTATTAAAAAGGAAGCAAAAATTGCACCAAGATCTACGAATTTGGTGAAAACGCAAATACCGGTGAATAACTTTGGATTATGTAGAAATAATGAACATTCGGTCACTCGGAGTTTTGTGAAATCCTTTGAGATAGTTTCTCATATTTGCGGGGAAATGCCCAAGCCCCAAACCGCCACCTTTGTAAGAAATTTAAAGGATATAGGGTATATCAAGACAAGTTATATTCCATATATCCCACATATTCCAGATATTCCCATTTCTCTTTTTGAATTTCGAATCGTTGATCCGATTCTTCCCGTCGAACGGAAAACGACTGATTTACGAACAAATACGGATGATAACGAAAGCAAACCTGAAACTCCAATTGCACATTTAGCAACTCCTAATGAATTAAGCCGGAAAAAACATAAAAAACCTTGTTTACCCGTCTGGCCAGCCCATCCACTAAAATACCGAAGTCGTAAGATCAAGTACGAAGAACTTGAATTATCATTTAACATGCAACAAAATGAAAGCACAATAGAACCCTATGGAACCTTGATGCATCAGAAAAAGGGAATGATTCAAAAGGACGAAATATTCACCAGTTATTACGATATCCAGCAGCCTTCAAGTTCAGAAAAGTTTAGTGATGCGAATGCAGAAAATTCGGTTTTAAATGAGTACAACAGCTTTCCAGAGATTGGTGAAAGTTCAACTGAACACTTGAATTGGGATACTTCATATTCAGATTTTAAAAGTTTCAACCAAGAACGAAATCTAGAACTTAAGACCAAAAATTCAGCAGTTAACAAATCGGATCACATTTCTTCAGATACAAAATACAAAACAAGGGAGCTGAACAAAAGTAAACAAGGTGTTGAAAGTCATAAAAAACCAAGAATGGGAGCTTCTTGCAGCTCTTTTAAAGTGAGCGAAAAAACAAGGAAGCAAATAGACAACTCACTGAAAACCAATCTTAAAAATATGATGACCAAACCTATAAAGCTACTAACAACAACTCAAGCCATGTCAGTTTCAGAATTTTTGGAACCACTACAAAACAAATTAGCTACTGAAGAAGAATCCTTGTCGAGTGCAACAACGAGTATTTCGGGATTAGGATCTGGGACTTCTCAAGATTATGAAACGGCAGAGGTTAATAGCGCTGCGGAATTAGCATGGACATCTGGATGCAAAACGGAGGAAAGTAGTTCGTTAGATTCATATACCAAAAAATTAGATACATCGCAAAAGCCTCTGCGACTTATAACTAACATAGATTACAAAACCTCGAAACAACTCTTTTAAGCAATTTTAACCTTGTTATTTATACCTATAAGCAATATTTGTACCAAAAAGACAATGTAAACACCATTGTTCATTTAAGTTGTATATTTTTTAATAAAACGTTCGAGCAAGAACTAAAAAACGCTCAAATATCTCTCACATCAGATCAGAATTGCCTAGCTTTATTTATATAATAGTTAATTGCGTGTTACACTACTAATTTCTTTAAGTTGTTAGTTCTCTTTAATTACATGTAGAGTAAATATTTATGCACATAAAGATGCATGCGCCCACATCTACGTACTCGCTATGATTATTATCAATTGCAATCGTTTCTTGCACTCGTCCAGTGCTCCACTGTATACATTTACAAACATAGGAATACAAATAAGTAATATTTAGTTTGTTTAAAGGCTTGAGAACTAATACGGCAAATCAAGGCCCAACAGCAGCCTGGCCAACCGACACTCTCTGGATCAACTTAAAATTGCATTTAGGAAATGTTGTGTCATGTCTGCACGTCTACTTCAAATACATATTGTGTGGATTACTTTCAATTAAAAGCTGTTTGGAAAAAATCAATCGAAAACTACGACATCGATCGTATTTTGTTTTTGGGACATTATTTCGCTGTACTTGGAATCTTGTATGTGCTGATGTACTTGATGTGTGATTCTTGTTCTATGTCTTATCAATTAGCTAGATGTGGATCATTAAATATTAATATATATTGTGGTTTCTCCAGCCTAGTTGCCAGCAACGTTTTGCACTTCACTTGAACTGATTATCTCATAATCTTTACTCGAGCTCTCTGAATCGGATCCCGAGTTGCGTGGTGTTCTGAAAGAAAAAACAGATGGAATTTACTAACAGTGTTCATTTAATTAAAGTATAAATAATACATTATGTACAATGTATAAGGATGGTTAATAAAATGTAAAAGGATGCAATAACAACTTACTCAGATTCCACTCAAAGCTTTAATGGCAAAACTGATGACTTAATTTAGGACATCACCATTAGAATACCTCAAGTTTTAACAGAAACAAGTTCACCATGGGTCATAAAAATGAGTATAAGAACCAACTACCAACAAAATGAGCCTCCACAGTTCACAAATGTATTTACAAATGACATGCTCCGCAAACGAAATAAAATTGGAATGAACGCAAACAAATAATAGGATTAATAATGCACTTTTATCATACAATATTATTTATTAAGGAACAAAGAAGATTTACAATTAAAAGCTAAAGTTAATGTGTGTAGCTTGCGCTTTTTGGTATTGTTTTTCTTATGAAAAAACAAAAGAAAAGGCCCGGAGGAAATAAAACAAATCATAAATACAAATTCGAGCAATAAAGCAGGAATCCTCGTCATTAGTGAGCGGATCCTTCTTACCCAGCTTTGGAATCCTTGGGCGGCGCCTGTGGCTCCTCCTCCTCCACATCGTCATCCTCGTATTCATCGGCTCCCACCTTGCGGCGTTTGCGGATCTCCATGTCGGTGTCGTGTTCCTTGATAAGCTCGATTTTCTCTGGTTCAAGGGTGGAGACTTCCGCATCTACATCACCATCGCCATCAGCATCCCCGTCCGCATCTACAGCAGTATCCTCGGCGTCACTCTCCTTGTCCTTCTTCTTGTCCTTTGATTTAGACTTTTTGTCGGTCTTGGTGGACGAGTTACTTGTGTCACTGTTATAGTTGCTCTATTGAATATAAATAAATATTGGGTTTTTTTCGTTTACTCGCAATTGACTTAAAAACCAACCTCATAAAGCGGCCAGAAGGAAGCAAAGAAACCCACATCCTCGGTCAAATTGGGGAAGATCCAGAAGTGCAGCTTGCCACCAGTTAATGCCCACACGATGGTAAAAATGATAAGACGCACGACGGTAAGAGCCAAAATGAAGACAAGGAATCCGGCTGCCGCAACGGAGAGATAGTAGACACCCTTGCGCAAAAGTGGTGGCCACAGGGGGAACAGGCAGATGCCCACGGCGCCCAGGAGCAGAATAAATCCAAAGATCCAATAGTGAAGCGGAATGGGATCGTAGATCCACACGTAAGCCTCGGATCCGTCCACAAAGATCTGTTCGGGGTGCATGTCCAGTCGAATCTTTCGTTTCTTCTTCTCTTTTTCTCCTTCTCCTTTTCGTTGCCAGAGGCACCTCCATCGCCCTGGCCATTTTCGCCCTCCGGATCAGTGTCTTTTTTGTCGTCCTTCGCCTTGTCCTTCTCCTTCTCCTTGTCTCCTTTCTTTTCGCCACTGGGCTTGCCCCTGATCTCCTCCAGGGTGACCGGCACCTTTTTAGCGCGATGGAAGAACTTGTGCTCCAGCATCACGTCCAAAAACTCGATCACCTGCTCTCGGGTGGTAAACAGTGGGCTGTCGCCCTCGGCGAATTTCGATTTCATCAGAGCATCGATGGCCTTACTGGAAGTGAAGTACTCGACGATGTGGCTCAGAAACTTGGTCTTCTTCGTCTTGACGTTCTTTTTCAGCCACTTGGCCACGTTCTTCTCATCCTTCGACGGTTTGTCCACCTTCTGGGCACCAGGTTCGCTGTATTCCTAAAAGAAAGGAAAATAGCACAAAAAATGTAGGCCGAAAAATACACTTTCACGATCGATTGGCTTCGATCACAAATCGATCGCAAATATAGGCCACGACACCAATTTCGTGTTCGTCACCCTTCAAGCCGTTTAAATGACTTTACTATACGTGGGTTTTCGAGGGGGATTACCGTGCCGTCATCGTAAATCTCCTGCTCCTCTTCTTCCTCAAAATGCTCCTCTTCGCTCATTTTTTAAGATTTGTAATTAAGAACTTTAAAATACTAAATAAATTGAAAACTAGTCTGGGAATCAGCAGAAGTTTTTCTTGGCCGTGACGTGTTGCATTTGCTCCGAGAGTCTAGAAAGTATTGAAATCTTGACTCTGGTCAAACGAGCTGGCGATCACCACAACAAACAAATACAGACGTACACCTCAGTGTACATGTATAGTAACAGGGGGGCATGCAATGTAAAACTTGAAGGGATCAAACTTAGCAATTTGGGAAAAAAAATTCAGTAGACTAGACATCATCCCAGGAAAAATTTGAGTGGTATGAGTGGTATTCGTAAACGAATTCATAGGCAGCATAGTTACAAAAGCTTAAAAACACTTTTTGGTTGAACAATATTTCTTTAGCTGCTTATAAAATGTTTAAATATTTTGTTTTGTTAACCTATCCCTCCTAGATCTCCACCTATGGTTAAGTATACACGCGTACTCAAACTTTCCCCAACAACAACAAGCAGAGCAGCTGATAAGTGGGCCTGCACCTGACATGTGTGGGTAATAAGAGAAAGAGAGGGAACGAGAGAGACCTAAGAACGGGAGAGTGAGATCGGCTTACAAGACGGGCTTACAGAGATGCCAGATGGATAAAAGCTTACAAGAAGCTCAGCTGTTTATTTTGTAGCCCCCAAAAGTTAATTGACTGAAAAGTAAATAAGCTCAGAATCCAGGCCCTGCTAAATACGCAGTCAAGATATTTCCACAAACAGCTAATTATAGACGTTTGCAGGCGGGGGGTGTTTTACGAGGTAGTTGAGAGAAAAACGTAGCCAGCATTGAACTTGCCCCCCACATATAATCTTAAATATGAATGGCTCGTCTGAACTTGCAAATCAGCGTTTCGTTTCGAGTTTATTTTTCGTCTGCGAAATCACGTTTTTTCCTTTTTTATCAAAACAAAAAATAAACACACTCGGCATGCCAATTGGACTGTGGCACCCATACACGCTCATCTTCACAGAGGTTGTCTTATTGGAAACACGTTGAACTTACATCCTTGCGACGACGGGTTCTCTTCTTTTCGGACATTCTAGATTCGGTGTGACGAACTGCTTACTTAAAATTGATTGTTTTAACAATTTTGATAATAATTCTGCCACACACGCACCACATAAACATTGACGGTAGAGCTGGAACAAAAATCGATGTTTAAACGATACTATCGATAGAGCATGAGCGAAAATGCGTTTAGCTTACTGTCGATGGTTTTATAAGAAGACAACCGATAGATTCCCTTGAAACATCGACTACTCAAACGGTTGTTAAATATACCAAGAGGACTTTCGAAAATACTTAAAATATACTAATCAGCGTTTAAACTAAAACGACCATTTTTAAGTTAATTAATCAGAAAGATTTTAATAAAAATAATCTGGTAAAATAAAAAATTTATAAACAAAAATGTATTTGAAAATCTACATCATTTATTATGTTGATAAGCACTGCGAGGTCCGAAATTATTGTAAAATATTTAACTAGCTACGATATTAAATCCACTTTTATATATCGTTGTCAATACATAGTTTCTGGTTTATTTTTGGCAAGTAAATACATTTAAAAAATATTTTGATTGCAGTCACATTTCTCATATTATATCACCCGATATACATATAATAAATATTCGCTATATCGAGCAAAAGTCAAAAACTAAATGCAAACTCAATCAATTTAATTTCCTTACATCCTCTATTAAAATTATCATTTTATTAATCTTTGTTTTACAACAAAATACAGACTAAATAATAAGTAAAATATATTATTTATTATATATTCTTATTATTATTATTAATAATGACCCTCGACAGTAGAGCGGTCAAAGTTTACGCTATTTTGTTTTCTTCCGGTTGTTGTAGTTCTTTTTTCTGTTACGGTTGCGGTGTGGTGTTTTGTTTTGTTTTCCGTATCAGTTTGTGTTTCTTTGCTTTTATAAGGAAGGAAAACTAAAACTAAGCCAATCTGTCCTTACCGCCACACCAAATATGTTTGCAAGTTTACTCTGTATGATCGTTTAGCTTACTTTTAAATCTTAGAAAAAGGTGCATGATGTACATGAAATTATAAGATGGGAGTAAATGCAGAAAAGGGGGAGGTCTTATTGACAAATTCAGAGGACCGTGCTTCTTTTGGTATTCTACATGCGGAATTTTTTTTGTCTCACAAGTGTGCTTTGTACATTTTACTCGGATGCGGTATTCTATACATTTACAATTTATGTATGATCATACGTTTATTGATATTTGGATAAAAGCAACATGTTACAGACATTAAATCGAGAACACGGCGCCTTTCCCTTCCGCCTCTCTGGGATTGCGTTTCACCCGTCAAAAATACAATAAAACACATTTCAAAGTCGTAGAAAGCACAGCGATTGAATTGATTCCGGAAAGATATGATGTCTAATCATTATGCAGTTTACGCTTTGTTTGTGGGGGATATTGGAAATAAAAATACGAAATGTTGGGATGACGCTGCCAATGGCAAGGACATACAAAAATGTGCTAATTGTTATAATCAATTATTATCCACCCGCGAAATCCTTGCCATCGAAGGTCTCTGTCAGTTATTTGTTTTGTTTTTGGGTTTATGGTGGGTGGGTAAGTGAGGGTTATGCGTTACTGTTTACGTGTTTTTGTCAGTGTCGGTTATGTTCTGTTCTGTTCGGTGTACGCTTTAAACTAAATGATAAAATATAGTTTAAACGTTAGTCGTGTTAACTAAATGTTAAAACCTGGATCTTACGAATACGGCGCTCGAATCGTGTTCACTGTAGCCCAAGCGCTTGGTGTGCTTGAACACCTCGTTGGTGATGCTGGTGACGGGCATAGACTGGTCCAGGTTCTCTGCCATATTCAGCACCAAACGCAAGTCGCGCTGCATGTGGCTCAAAGGCTGCTGTGGGTTGAAGTCGCCCTTGGCCATTTCTGAAAAGGATCAAATAGATATTAGTTAAGTAGCCGCAAACGCTAATAAACTTCTTATACCTTTGCCCTTGGCGAGCAACATTGGTGATTTCATCGAAGTCAAATCGAAAATGTCTATGATGTCGTTCAACGAAATTGAAAAACGATCAGCTGTTAACGAAAATAAGGAGTTAATTTAAGAAAGCTAAACAAAAAGCGAATATAAAACTTACCAAGTGCTAACGCCTCAGCCAGTCCAACCAGACTCACTCCCAAAATGGTTTGCAAAATAAGGTTTACTTTACAGGCATTGCCGATATCTGCTAGATGTGAACAAAGGACAAATTTAAGAAATTGTTCTTCGGAGATAATAATCGTTGTAGGCTGCACTTACTCCCCAAGAAGAACGTGTTCTTCGCAATGGTCTTGAAGCACGAGTGGCATTCCTCGAACACCGAACGGTCGCCGCCGGCGAGGATGATGAGCATGCCATCCGCTGCCTCCTGACGCGATCCGTGAATTTGTGCCTCCAAATAGCGGCCGTTGCACTGTTTAATACCCTCTCCAATGTCCAGCGAAGTGTCCGGATCAATGGTAGACATTTCCACGTAGGCCTTGTTATTCAGATCCTTCAACTGCAGGACGCCACAGTTGCCAAAAACGAGCTGAGCGTGAATAAGAAGAGTACATTAGTATCAGGTGTTGAACACCAGAAAAGCTATAGCTTTGCTTGCTATTAAGTTAACCCATATCTTATTTCTCAATTCTTTTGTATTCTAATTTATTTTAAATTTATACAGACTACAACAACATCGCTAGCAACGAGTTCGTGTATTTCATTTCGTAATAACAAGATGCCCGCAAGAAAAGTTAATTTTAAAGTGTAAACGAAAATAAGCAATAGGAACTAATAGTTGAAATAAGGACAACTTAAACTTTTGTACAGAAAATAATGAAAAAAAATCAATTAATTAATTAATTAAATTAAATAAAAAGTAGTATTGGCAGACAAACTTACATCCTTAGCGCCCTTGGGATCCGACACACAGCAGAAGATAACGTCGGCGGCCTCCACGACATCCATTGGCGTGTCCTTCACCTCGGCACCGGCCTCCGCGAAGGGCTGGCACTTGTCGATGGTGCGGTTCCAGACCACAACCTTGTGCCCCGTGTATATCAAATCCTTGACTATGGTCGATCCCATCATGCCCAGGCCCAAAAAGCCAAAGGTCTGCTCTGAGGGTACGATGTCGCGATCGGCCAGCGTATTGGAGCGGGTGCTCATGTCGATGACCTGGGTCTCTGGCCGCGTAACCACCGGACGGTCGAGCAGAGCTATTGCATTCGGTGTCCTCTTGGCCGCCAGCGCGGCCAGCAGTGCGTCGGTTCCATCCCGACGTCTGGCCGATGGTGTGGAGCTGGCGCCTTCGTCATCGCGCACTGCATCCCCGGAGGCAGCCCGCTTGCCACGCTTGGCACTCGATGTCCCGCTGGGAGTCTGATGGGCGGATGTGCGCCGTTTCTGTGCGGATTTTGTCGCCGATCCCTTGGCCGACTTTACTGTCGCACCCGTGACAGACTTTGCCTTGGGCGTTCGCTTGCCAGCCGACTTGGTTGTGGTCGCCGGGGTTGCTGCAGGTGATGCCGACGAGTCTGCATTGATCTCCCCATCCAAGCCCTCGCCCTCATCGGGACTGCCCACCACATGGGCCACCACACCATTGTTGCCATCGCCGGCTGACTCGTCTCCCACGTTGTCCTCGCTGTCCAGACCATCGCGGATCTTGTCGAAATCGGCTTCGGTTGCGTGATTGGGCGCCCCGCAGCTTTTGTTTACCTCCTCGTCCACTTCGGCGGGGTCGTCAATATACTTCTCAATATCCGTCATGGCGTTTCGGAATGAAACCGGCTTGCTCACCTTGGCCAAATCATCCTTCCAGGGGCCCTCAAAGGGCTTGATGTTGTGCTCCTCAATCCAGGCGCTTTTAAATATTACAAAAATTAATTTTGCTCACTTTGGATCACTATTTTTTAACTTACAAGTTCCTGGATCCGAAGAAAAACACGCATTTGGTATTCGCACGACGCTGCTGGCTGAGCAGATCAAGTGGGGGATCGACAATCTGAGGAAAGTAATGGTTTTTAAAACCTGATATTTTATCGCATTTAAGTCGGATTAAGTATGCGGGATTCTCAATGTATAAAGTTCACTTTTATTAAAAGTATACGTTGAACAAAAAACCAATATGTATTCCACAATAAAAACATATTAATTCATAAATTAAATATTTTTGCCAAAATGTATTAAAAAATATTTGTAAAACGGGAATTTGTAACAAAATATCGCAATCCTTCATCAAGTTTAAGGTTCTCCTAACTAAGTAAGCTGATATGCTCACACTATTGTACCTATTCAGAAGTTAAGTACAATTATTAAGATTATTTTATGACAAATTACCGAAAGGTAGGCAATACTTTTGCTGGTTACAAGGTTCGTTTGTACTTTAACAGATATTAAACAAACAATTAGAACAAAAACTGTTTAAAAGCATGACATATACCAATTTTCACCACTATTCTTAAAACTGCATTAAAAACTTAAGGATTAACTAAAACATTTTTTTAAATTTTCAAATATGGATAGAACAGTTTAAAACCAAACCAATAAAAAAAATAAAATTTTCAGCAAATGTGATTAACCAGGAACTCTAGAAATATCCTTGGCAACGACTGTTCAAAATCCATGCCCTCCGTACGCGTCACTCCCCCTCCTCCTCAGCCGCACATGCTTCTATCTCGCAGCTGTACATGATCAAAAGCTATATAGCCGTAGCCTATAGCCCCCGATAGCAGCTCCAAAAAAGAGACAATTTTATTCCGCCATGCAGCAGCGCCAGCAAAACCAACAACAAGGCTGTGTGCAAGTGCGTGGCTGTTGGCAGCGCGGCGGCAGATACGCCGGCAGAGCGGAATCAAAAAGTACAGTCGAAAACAAACACAACAACATGGCAGAGGAGTCGGGCAGCGACGCGACGTCGACGCAGCGTAAATATTCCGATCGCAGATAGGTGTAGCTTACCATTCCCGGCCACGGAGTAAAACCCTTCATTTTGGCCCTGTAAATAGAGGAAAAATAGAATATTAGAAAATGCAATTAAGAAATGGAGGAAATTCATATTGGGTCATATTATATCCGCAAAAAAAGGGCGCGCGCGCGAAAAAGCGCCAACGCAGAGACGTCGACGTTGCCGCCGGGAATCTACACATGTATTGCCAATATAGCTCCCGATTTAGTGGGACTCCATTGGTAATGCCCTGCGTGGCGGTCGAAAAACCAACGCTAATTGCTTTTTTATGCACACTTCACTGGTTTTTTTTCTTTTTCGGAGCGCCAACCGAGCGCAATTGAGGTTATGTGTTTGCTTTGGTTTTTCTCTTATTTGTATGGACAATAAGATCGAGAAAACCTTTATAATCATAGTAGGTCCTTCGTCCTTGCTTACCATATCAAGTCCTTGGGTTTGTAAATAAATTTTTCCGCTGTATCGCCGCCCGACAGCGACATTTTTTTGTTCTTCGACATTATGTTGTCCAGGCGTATGTTGAACTTAGTTATTTTGCTGGCTGTGGCGGACGGAGCACACGAATAATTATATTTCTCAATAGGGACCACTACTCCGGGTGTTCAGTTCTAATTATTTCTAATTATTTAAAGAGGTATTTGCTCGCAGGCCACCCGTATTTTTCTTTTTTTTTTTCGCTTTGTGTGTGTGATGCGCTGCCGAGCCGATAGTATTTGCTAGGAAAACACGATAGCTGGCAGGCGCCATTTTGGGCTGCTATCGGCTAGTGTTGGAAAGAAACGGCAGTGTCACGTCACACAAAAGAGCTGCCAACTCGAGGACAGTCTTATTAAAAAAATTCATTCTATAGTAGTAAAGTTTTATTTCATCAATTGATAACCATAATTATGTTATATTTAAAATAACGTTTAAACTAATAATTTATATTCACTGCATTCTGTACTTCCCTCATTGAAACATAAGAACAGATAACGAAACGTGAACTAGTTCTTTAGTTCTCTTTACAGATTATGGAATGTGTTACATGTATATTATTGGCTTTTTTTAAGTTTTTAGTATCATAATTAATATATTAAAAAAGGGTCTGGCTTTTAACAAGCGAACGAGCTATTTACATATTTCATAAAAGTAAACCTAAACTATTCTTTTGATTTTTATAAGCTGATGAGCTGTCTTAGTATCTGAAAGTGTGCAGTTATTAATTCCCTTTTATCCCCATGTTCTCAAACCAAAAAAGTTGGAGAAGACTTTCACTTAACCGGAGGTCAAGTTAAATAAAGTGCCGCTCAAAGCCGCAAAACAAATTACCACACGTTCACCCCCAACTCCACTTTCTCTGATACTCAACACCCAACCATATAATCCTCATAAATATGAAACAATCAAATAAAAAAGGAATAAAGAACAAATGCTGCAGGGGTTGCGGGGAACATGCGACAACCCTACTCGGTCGAACTTTTACGGGCGACCTGGTGCCCAACAAACAAAAGGGAAAAAGGAAACTGCTGCCGCTAAAGGGGTAAAAAGTTGCATTTATGCTATAAAAAGAAACCGTACTTTTGGGTTGAATAATGGCTAGCATTTTGTTTTGCAATTAGCAGGCGTGGAATGGGTGAATATTTTCCATGACCAGATTGCCATCAATTGTACGGAAAAATCTGTTCTTCGAAATTTGGTCGTTTCCACGTGGGTTCGCATATGATACTGTTGTATAACATAAAAAACGCAATAATGATAAGGTACTTTGTGACTTATTCTTAACAAAAAGGTATCGTTATTTGATTTTTTATTTTTCTTGCAGTCTTTAAAACTACTGGTCGATAATTAAAACGGAAGCTTTGAAAGTCCAGAGAGGATTAAATCGATCTGTGTGCCATCTCTAAAGTTTCTTCTTCCACAACTCGCTTGGAATCTTCCGTTTCGCTTTTGATTTTTGTCAAATCCTATCTTTCTATTAAATAAAATTAAAATCTCAATTAGTCCTGAAAAGAACTCTGTTCCTCTGCGGTACTGGTTATCTAGTGCAATTCTAAAACACTGAGCCAATTTCGGATAAAATATTATATATTTGGCGATGTAAGAATTAAGACATATTTTTTATTTTGGTATCACGAGGCGAGTTTTTTTTATTTATAGTCTTTCCAGTGCCCAAGTACATAAATATACATATATCTACGTATGTACGTCCATATGTATGTTTATAACTGTTTACTTCAGTTCTAGTTGGAAGTGAATCAACATGTCAATTTGGCTGAGGGGTTTCTGATTCAATTTTGCTGACACTTTAAAAAAACGCGCTCTCTGTTTACAAGTGAGTTTGCCCTTATGGGATTTTGATCAAGAGTGTCCATTGCAAGTCTGTTGGCTTTTTACATCTTATTTTTGTGGAACCATTTATTTTAAAAAATGTATAAACTTTGATTGATTAGAGAATCTTCATATTGAAGTGAGAATTTCTATACATATGTATGTACACACATCTTTGGGCTCTTAAAGTGTTGGTAAAACAACAACTTGGAGCTCGGGCCACTGCCTATTGTGAAGCACCACTTGCCACTCCCCAAGGATGCGGAGGAGGGCACTGCAGCAGGATCTAGTGCAGTGCAAACAAACACCAAATAGGCACAAGGACCTACTTACTTGCGGCTTAGAGCCAGTTGCTTTGTTTTGCCATTTGGAAGCTGCAGTTGCCTTCGTATTTGCCGCATTTGCTTTCGCTATTCCCCCAACTTAAATTAGCTAATTTACTCCCCACTAAATCACAATCCGAATCCACAAATTTAATCCTGTGGCTGGCTTCACAATTTTTGGCTCGCTTTGGCCAAAGTTTCTGACGCGTGGAAATCGCAGAAATTTCCACATGACTGCGTCCCGAAAATGTAAACGGACTTAAAGCTCAAGTTGATTTAAACATTTGATTTTTTGTTGGCAAGGCATCAATTGTACTTTAAGAAAATTTGAGACCCCATTTTTACCCTCATCACTTAAAAGAATTTGAAACTGAAAATGCCCAAGGGAACTTGTTTAAGTACAAACACATTAATAAAAAAATCAAACAAATTTTCTACAAATTTTATAGCTTAAAAACTTTAATAAGCATTTAATTTCAATACTGTCCTTTTATTATCACTTAATTAAATTTTCTTTTTCGCCCACAATATAGGTAATGCGTATTTTGGATTTTTGCTTCTGAAAATTCATACTGCGATCCCCCAGCACATTTCCGGAAGATAAATGCATCTTTTCAAAGTTCACTTATACATATAAAATTGTCGATCGTCAAAGGCACTGTGCCACGTAGTAGTTCCAGCACTTAATCCTTTTTATTTTGATCGATTCTAGGACAAATACCGTGATTTTTGGTTTATGTAACACTTTTATAATATTTGAATGGCTTACTTTCAAAACTCCCAGCAAACAAAGCCATCCTTGTCCGGAGGGGCGAGTGAAAATGTAAAATGGTTAAGCAGGCGCAGGCCCAATTTGACAAGTCCAGCGATTCAGCCGCAGAAATTGGACGCTTTACTTCGAAACCGCGAGCCTCTTCGCATACCGACAACCGGAAAAGTTTTGAGCAAGGTTCAAGGCACTCAAGAAAATTCCGTGCAAACTGTTTTTGGTAACAGAATAAATCAACTTAATCAAGACAGTTCAGATAAAATTACTTGTTTAGAAAATAAGGAAAGTAAACCCGTTGAATCTACTAAGCTAGAGGAATTGTTCGCCAATTTAAAGATGCCGGAAACGAAAGGTAAACAGGAACACCTTGGTACTAAACAAAAATCTGGGAAACAATCTCATGAATCTCTTCAATACAAACCAGCAGCATCAGCTGCTTTACTTCCATCTTCTTCGTCCTTAATTTTAAATAGAAATGCAAAAGAGCAATCAAAGTCTTCACCAGTTACCTTTTCTATGGACAAAGTGAACGAAATTTTTAATGGCATGCTTAGTAAAAACTCGTCAGAAGGTTTTAAACTTCCAAGTAAAATGGATAAATCAAATTCTTATGTTCCCAGCACTTCAACAGATGACTTGCGAAAGAAAACTGAATCCTTCGTAGGAAACAGGAAGAACAGCAATCAAATTAATTTGAAGGATTTCCTGTGTCATTCAGTGCTGGCCCACAGCCCAAAACCAGGATATCCTGACACCTGTAATCAGAATATAAGTTTTTGTGAGGAGATCCAAATGTCGTTGGATGAGCTGAACTTTCAAAGACCGATAGAAACTCAACTGTACGCTTGGCCGCATCTCTTGAATCGTGGATCTTTGGTCCTGGTAAATGGCTCAAGAACTGGTCGCTCCTGGAGCTACCTGCCCGTACTTTGTAACTCGGTGTTGCGTTCCTTGGAGAACATCCCATCCACTAATGGAAATCTTAAAGTCCTCGGACCTCTGGCTTTGCTAGTTGCAGATTCTGTTGAAACTGCCAAAAAGTTAACTACCCATTGCGACTTTCTCTTGAAAAACTACTCAACTAATTACCTCAAGGTGGTCAACACGCATGCGCATCCCATGATAGATGTTTATCGAATGCTGCTTGGTTCTTGTGGCATTTTGGTGACAACACCTTCTCATTTGCTGGGCATATTGACCAATGAATTAAACCTAGTGGACCCAGCCAGACTGGAGTTCTTAATCTTTGATGACATAGATCGAATGCGCCTGGAAAGTCCAGAGCTTCTGGGTAAAGTGCTGCAGATAGTTAATGGCCTGGATTGTCCAATGATGCAGTTGGTTGTGGTGGCTCAACAGTGGCATAAGGAGAACTTCAAGAAACTCCTAAAGCAAACAGTAAACCCGCTAATCCTCATCGGTGATTTTTTCAAGGCAGCCATTTATGGGGGACTAATATTGAAGTTCCTTCTAAAGAGTTCCGCATTAAAGGCTAACCAACTTCTCGATGTCCTGTCGACACAGGAAGGTCTGAAAAGGCGGACGTTAATTTACTGCCAAAATCAGTTGGAACTGGAGAACCTACAAAATATTTTGACCAAAGGCGGACATCAATGTATAGATATTTCGAAGGCTGGAAACCAGGTAAGTAAAATGTCTTTTAAATTATCAATGAATATTTAATTGAATACAAATGAAACAAATTTTTTTAGGAACCCAACGAGCTGTTGCTGGTCAGCGATGAGGACATTCAAGAGGAACTGCGAGTGAGAAACATCGAGCTGCTTATCCACTTCAATGTTCCGGAATCCTGGTCGAGGTTTACTGTTCGATTTTACACCATGGCAGAGAGTATACCTAACTTTTTTAAAGTTCTGGGAACCGATAAGCCACCTGTCACCTATTTAATGCTGGACGAAACAAACGCCGCGGAATGGCACCGAACTTTGAAATCCCTCCAGAGTTTGGGAGCTACAAATGATTGGATGTCTGAATTAATGCCCCGCTGGAACCACAAATCGAATAACAGTCGAGTATTCTGTGAATCCTTACTGAGCAGTGGAAATTGCAATCGGCTAGTTTGTGATAAGCGTCATCACTTCGTTAAGGCAGATCTTCCGCATCCTGATAATTTGCTTCAGGAACAAGGAACCGTAATTCGCGGCAAAATATTTAAAATATACGACCCAGCTCACTTTGCAGTTTGGCCCATTAAGTACAAGTGCAAGGACTCGACCAATTGGATGGATGTACCTTATCCCTTCGATCCATCTATACTAATGTTAAAAATGAATTTGGCATTGAAGGAGAAGTCTAGTAAGCCATATAATCTTAACGATGTCTTTTTTTTAATGTATCACGAGCAAGTGCAGCGTGTGAGAATCATGGACGTTCGTTCCTCCTCGCATTCGGTCACTGTCCAATTCATGGATCACGGCACTGAGTTTATGGAGGTCAAGACCAGTGAGTTGCTTAAGTGTCCGAAGGAGTTCAAGACCATACCACCTCTGTCCCTGGATATTCGTTTATCGGGAGTGGTTTCAGCCGGAGAAGAAGGTCAGTGGTCCGCGGAATCCATTGAATGGGTGCAGAGTCACATTGAAGGGCAGGATGTTTTGGTAACCGTTGACTTAGCCATTATGGATCTGATCTATGCCGAGGAAATTACCTCGATAGAGGAGTGCCGAACAATGAAAACAACAGTCAACAAAATATTTTTGCGCAGAGAGTTACTTCGTCAAGGATTCGCCAAAAATGGAACTCTCATGGAAACAATGCGCTTTCTTCACATGCATAGGAAAGCAGACTTGGAAATGCCGACCATTGTGGACTCCACAAGGCAAAATAAGAAGGGTTATAATTCAAACAAACAAGAAAACGGCACTGATGAGCCTAAGACAGTAGAGGAAAATAAGTTGTATGAGAATGTTCCTGATTCAAACAAAGAAAACATTTTAAGCTCAATTAATAGAATTGTAAATGAGGAGTCTGCCAAAACCGAAGAAATTCAAACCGGAATTGATGAACAAAATACAGAAACTCCAGCAATAGACAGTTCTACTGCACTATTGAACGCTGTGATCAACGAGTTGAACACTAAGAGTCCTTCGAAGAAAGAGGATACGCAAAAATTCCTACACAGCATTATTAATACAGCAGAAAGCCAGGAAGTTGCAACCAAGAAATCCTGCCCAAGAGCACTAAAATTGGAGCAAACCTATGATGTTAACCTTCAAGAGCCATCCAAGGAACTAGTAGCGCATTCCTTGCAGTGTGCCACAAAAGCTGGGGAGTCGGTTCATCCCAGGGTTAAATGGCATCAGACCCACACTCATATTGAGCTTGTAATTGAGCAGCAAGTGTCAGAGTATAACCTGGTTCTTGAGGGTTATTCCTTGATCTATAGCGTAACAACAACTACACCACCTCAGCGGTGCGTCCTTAACCTGCTGGGCGAAGTTATTATCGAGTCGGTGAAGCAGCACGGGTATTTCCTCCATGTCAGGTTGGCCAAGGTTAATCTACTGATCTACTGGCCATCACTTCTCAACTCGCTCTACGCCCAAAAACATTCCCCCTGGCTGGTATACGATACTGAGCGAGCTGAAGGACCTCCACCATCAAAGGCACATGTCCTCTGGAAAGGGTATCAAAGGCAGGAGATAAGCAAGAGGGGTTCGAACCCAGAGGAAGAAGAATTTTCTTCTGCCCCGGAGGACTTTAGCGAGCCGGAAGTTGAATTCTCCGAGAAAGACTCCATATTATATGAAGATTGTTAGGTGTTACGTAACTTTTTTTCGTAATCTTTGTTAAATTTTACTCTTAATTAACTGTTTGGCTTTAACCAGATACCTGCCATTTATTTCTTTTGATTCCTAATAAAATATATCAACTTATTAAATCGCATTGCATTGGCTGGGGTACCTGCCTTCGATGTCGTATAGAGAATCTGAACATATCATCCAAACAGTTCTGGACGGCCCAGATTTCCGCGTTTTGTTACTTTTATGTAATAATAAAAGAATTTCCAAAAAAAGAAGTCAAAAATGTTAGCTTGTCTTAAACAGCTGACATACAGAAACAAATTCAGTTGATTCAATTTTTCTCAGTGCAGTGCTCCCAAAGGTATTTTTTTTTTGCAGCGTTAAGCAGTACTGAAATCAAGGAATCCAACCCTGGCAAATTTTTTGCGTCGTTGTTATCTTGATCTCGTTTGTATTATTTTTTTTTTTTTGTTGGCCTAACCCAAGGATGTCCCCGCGAAAGGATCAGCGTGATAATAGTTATTGGCAGAAACAAGCAGCTACCTTGCCGGATTACGTGCCTCCGGCTCAGCAGGAACAGGAACTGCAGCAGCTGCAGCATAGAGCCTCGATCCTTTGGTCGCCCCAGATTCAGGAAGAGGACGAAGTAAACCTGCGCGAATACCTGGACGTTGCGGCCATGCGCTATAATATCGAGGAGGAGCAGGCCCTGTTCATCCTGCGACGTCACGGGTTCGACCTGCCGTTAGCCAGGCGACGTCTGGTCGGCGTTGAGACGGCTCGAGGATGTCGCTATCATCGCTGGAAGGCCCAGGATCTCTTCCGACTCTCCCAGGCCTTCAAGCAGCACGGAAAAAACTTTGCGAAGGTCCAGGAACAGGTTCCCCACTTTCCCCTTGCCGAGGTTCGGCTGTATTTCTCCTTCATGTACTCGGCTTAGGATCCAGAAGACTGACAACCTGAGATAACGAGGGATATTCATTAACTCATTCTAACTGACATTGGTTTCCTTAACTGTTCAGATCATCATTATGGCTTAGAAGATTTATTTAAACAATATTTGTATGATCAATTGAACAATTAAGTTTTTCCTGAAACACACTGCTAGGCACATTAATAAAGTATTGTTTAAAATGTTAACATACTTTCACGTTGTTTAATAATAAGTCTTGGTTTTGAATGAGCTTGTCTTTATTTTGATACACTATATATGCATTATTCTCATAAACTTATAATTATTAGCGTATTTATCAAGAGCGTATTTATCAATACAAGTAAGTTGGTATCGAGTTTGAGCTTAATGACCTAACATTTACAGGAATAGCTTAGATATGCGTAATTTTATACCTATATTGACTATGTACAAATTAAAATCCATAAATCAAATAGCAAACAAAAAAAACTTTTGAAATTCCTTGGAAAATGGAAGATGTATAAATGAAGTTCAAAGAAAACTTGGTAACAAAATGTAATAAATGCAAAAATATATCTTTCAGTCTAGGGTTCGGTTGAGAAAAAACGAAAATAGTTCGAAATGATTTGCCAGATACAACGAGGAGTATTTTTGGTAAGTTCAAAATTAGGAAACAGCTTCATCTTTCAGTCTAGATTACCTACAATCGTTTAGTTTAAGCATTAAGTGGTAAGGGTAAACATTTGCCTTGATTAGTTCCCTAAGACTATGTGTTCTGTGCCCGATCGCATCGCTGTCGGCTGCTAGGTGTGAGTTCCTCGTCGCGTTGGCTCCGAATAATACAATGTGGCTCTGCTGCTGCGTCTATCTAAACTAGGACTATGCTACACTAGTGGGGCTGAGAGTTGCGTACATTTCCTTTGGATGCGGGGTGCCCCCGAAACTACTAGACTAAAACAAACTGCTCTGCTTGGCTAGGCTGCAGCGGTGCAGGGTCATGGTGCCTCCGGGCTGGAGGGCGAGGGCGTGTATCCCCGGCGGGGGCGTGGTCACCGGACCCCACGACAGCCGCTTTCAGTTGGGCCGAAGCGGCAGCATGCCATAATGTTGCTGTTGCATCATCATCTGTTGCTGTTGCTGCTGCTGCTGTTGTTGCTGTTGCTGCTGCTGTTGCTGTTGTTGCTGCTGCTGCTGTTGGTTTGCCACTGGAGGACCTTGCGACGTGGTGTAGGTCACGGCACAGGCTGCTGGCTGGGATACCACCACCGGTGCACTGACTTTCCGCTCGGATTGAGTGCGAATCGGTTGCGGATGAGCGGCATTTGGCTGGGGAGGTGGGGCATACATCAGCATGGGCGGCGGCGGAGGCGATGGCTCCACGCTGGGATGGCGAGCTGGCGGCGTTACCGCCGAACCATGGTACGAGCCATAGGAGCTGTCGTCCGACTGAGCGGACTGTCCGCGATTTCTGGGTCCCGTCACGCTGTACAGTTGCTGCGGATCCCGACGGTCGAACTTGTGATTGCCGTCCATGGGCGTGGGATTCGTGCGAGTGCCGTAGACCGGCTGGAAGCCCTGCGGTTGCTGCTGCGGATCGGGCATCATTTGAGGCGGAGGCTGCATCTGTTGCTGCTGCATATTGGGTGGTTGCTGCTGCATCTGCTGTTGCTGCTGCTGTTGTTGTTGCTGCTGCTGCTGAAGGGGTTGCTGCTGTCCGCGCATGGATCCTCGCATTCCATAGATACTCTCGCTGCGTTGCTGCATTTGATTCTGGACATTCTGGTTCTGCAGATGCGAGGATTGCGGAGCTGGAGCCACTTGCTGTTGCTGCTGCTGCTGCTGTTGCTGCTGCTGTGTGCGCATGGGATAGAGACTCTGGGCGGGAACCAGAGGACCTGGACGTGGCACAATATCTCGATTGATGGCCGTGTTGCTCTTGGCGTACACCGATTGCGAGCGATTCAGGTTGCTCCTGGTCAAGGTGGGCGATCGGCAGTAGAGGGAGCGGGTTCCACCGTACAGTGGCTCCTGCTGCTGCTGATCGTACTTCGAGGAGAGCGGCGGAGCCGTGTAGAGGTTCTGGCAGTAGTTTCCTTGCTGTCCATTGTCCACCACTCCGGTTATCTGACCCATATTCGCCGCCTGGTGCTGACCAGTTCCAGTCGCCTGACCACGTCCATTGCCATTGGACTGACCACGAGGATAGGTTCCTTGCGACTGCTGGTACTTGTTGGGCTTCTCGATGTCCATGTCGTAGTTCAGCTCGTCCTCGGAGTGAATCGAACTGGAGTCGTTGTCGATGCTGCCCTTCGTGTGGCGCAAGTTGCGTCGCGAGTTGTTGAAGATGTACTCGTAGACCAGACCGGAGGCCATGCCACCCACCAGAGGACCGAACCAGTACACCCAGTGGTTGTCCCATTTGTTCAGCACAAATGCAGGACCCAAGGAGCGGGCTGGATTCATGTACGGCATCTGCAAGGATAGAACGGGGTAATTTGGTTAGTTTTATGGTGAAATAGCAAAGTATTTCAAGTTGGCAGTCAAAAGAAATTATGTGGTTTTATAAGCTTCTTCTTAAAGTATTCTGCACCTTGTCCATCAAATGCCACTTGGGGGAAAAGTTGAAAAACAATGCAAAAGGCATTTTCCATCAAAGGACAGTTGAGAACTAATTTTGTAAGCTTTTCAAAAGAGTTTAGCAGACCGAAAAACTTGAGAGTTTCGGTTAATTTAATACAGAAGGGAAAGCCACAAAATGTAATTGTAATAAAATCAAGTGGAATTACACCTTTCATATATGAAAAACATTTACTAAATAATTTAGTAAAAGATAATTATCAATAAATAGCTAAAATGGTACTCGACTAGAATACTTCAGTGAATTCTTATCCCAGATGCCTGAAGACCTTAATGGCTTTAATTTACCGACTAAATCTACGTTTTTCCGCCAACCACTTCGCCGTAATTCAATCTGCGGTCGATATAAACTTGACTTTAATCGGTTTCCCCTCGAGAGCTTAGCCCAGTCATCTCCTTTGAATGCCGCCACAAACTGTCCGTTATGCCAACAATGCAGCTCGGTCCTGGGAGTCCGTGTGCTAAATTAATTATCCCCCCAATCCCGCTCGACCGACCTTCCAGTCCAAACCCTCTTCTACCTGAGAACCCAGTTTATCTCGTCCGTTGTCATGCTGCGATTTTGCACCATCAAAATGACAGAGTCAAAGTCGTCGGCAGGTGCGTTTCGCCTGTTTGTTTTCGGTTTTCGGTTCGGTTTTTGGCGGGTTCTGGTTTTCAGATTTTCGTTTCTTTTTTTTTTTTTTTTGCCCGGCATTCCTGAGCCTTGGGATACAACTCAACTGAATTCAACTCGGCGAGGGAAGTCAACTTACCGACACAAAGCAGCAGGCACTGTAGGCAGCTCCAATCGAGGCTGCGGAGTTGCCCATGAACTTCTTCATGGGATCCGTGGAAACGAAATAGCACAGCACCACCAGAAAGGTGAGGATGAATTCCACTCCGAATCTTTCCCAGGCGGCCAGGGAGGCGCTCTGCGAGAAGGCGGCCTGCAGATTGCCCTGGTATCCTGGCACAGTTAACCTGGAAAATTAATTTAAAAAAATAAATCAGTATAAGAAAAGATCTCTAGTTTATTTATGTACACATTTATTTATAACACTGTGAAGTTATTTAAAATAATCTCTTTTGAAAAAGATACTGTAATTATTTTGTTTTGGTATACCAAACTTACTACATTTACTTTGCTTCCCATCATAAAACCAATATTCTTTTGTACAAAACCACACATTTGAAAATATTTGATTGATTTGAGTGCCAAGTTTTTCACGCCGAGAGTCAATGACAATTTATTTCATTTATAATTTACGGCTGTGACAGTTTGGGAATCAACCCTCCGACTTTTCCGACTTCTCCCCCAACTAAAGTCAATCCCATTAATCTGCTGGCACATGAACTGCCTCAACATCATTTATATTGACAAAGTTTCAATTACCGAGTTGCCAAAGTTGTTGAAGAGTTCACCTTTCGGCTGAAATGAGTTCGAAGCTTTGAGATTTATGGGTAAATTCAGCTGGCAGATAATTTGTTTCCTGCTGCAGATGCCGCAAATAAATACTCGGCTCGAGAATTTGATTGTTGTCATAGGCAGTCCCTGGTAAGATATAACATTTTGCAATGCCAAGCAGAGCAAATATTTTCCTTTACCTGGCACTCAACCACATTTATCCGCCCACTTTGGAAATCCGGAAATAAATGCTTTCGGAATGCACTTAAAAGTACTTCTGCAAATAGAACGCCAGGCAATGGGAAATTGCTCCGAGATCCGGAGATTGAGGTGGCAACTGCAAGTTATGTTCATCGTGGAGCCGGCTTAGTGGGAATTAGATGGCCCTAATCCTCCACTAGTTACCCACGAGTTCCACTCTGCAGGAGCATCCCTGAATTGTGATTAAAACTTGATCGCTTTGGAATACATTTCGCCAGCGGGCGGACTTGAAAGTGCTCCTTGTTTGCTCATAAATCTATAAAGTGCTAATTTCACAGGGCACGAGTGACCGAAAACCACTCATCCACAAGGATAAACAAACACTGGGTTTCTCGGGGGGCTTGGGATTTTGGGAAGGGAAGCAACTAAGTAGCCGGAAATGGCAGAATGTTGGGCGGCTTGAGAGCCTTTCAGCACTTCTCTTCCTGTGTAAATTGTTTGCGGAATAAAAAATGACCGTAAAAAAAAAAACAGCAGCTCAGAGCAAACTTGAGCTGGGAACAGGAATCGTTATCCTTATCCCCACGAGGGGGAGTACATTTTCACCGCATTTTCCGGCTGGAAGGGCCAACTGCGAATTGCGGGTTGCGTACTCCGAACTGCAAACTGCGAATTGCGAATTGCCATGTGCCAAATGCAATGCTCCTGGTTCGGTTTGCTTTTTGGTCCTGTCTGGCTTGCGGTTGGCTTTTTGACTCACTGAAATGACTGAATTCCCGATGGAAGGTACCAATAAAATTATCACGCGAATACGGAAAATGTTCTGCATCATCGCTCTTGATTTAAATCAAAATAAACATTCGACATTTCGTGACAATCTATGAAATTCTGACGATTTGAATTATTGATGATACTCAACGGAAAAATAAATGTTAATTAATAAATATTGATATTTTATTTATATATTGACAGGCACTTTTAAAACATAAGCTTTGGTAATATTGATGGTAATTAAATATTATTGGTTGCTAAAATAACCATTTTCATTTTGCTCCAGCCTACTTATTAAATAGGATTTATTCCCCATAGCATTTAAGCTGATTTTAGAGAGCAGTGTACTCTGGTGTGCCATTTCTATAAATTCTTTTTGTCCCCAGGTGTTGTTTGAGTGCCGGCGAAATAACTGTACAAGTGGACCACCTGTGCGGGATTTGAATGTGGATGAGAATGAGGAAGCAGGGGTCAAGTGAATGGAACCGGAAACTCGGGCAGGATGCCATTTCCAAACCCAGTGCGATAAGCCTGCACCGGAGGAGCAACAACTAATAAAAAAGGGGAACGGAATTCCCTGCCGAACGGATTCAGTAATTGAATTGCCCATGTGACACGAATTGATTACGATTTCGATTTCTACAAACCATCCCTTTTGCTACAGGAAGTGCATTTCCATGCTAGATCACAATCAACTGGCACACAAGCAGATTGTATTCTGAATATTTTTAAATTTTAAAGTGCATTCAACAGGTTTCAGAACCAGAAATATAAATATTGAAAAGTATATGCATTGCTATGAACAGCTGTGTTCATAAAAATAGAAATGCAATAGCAACGAACTAAAACAACGGTAATTTTTGCATGTTCCTTTTCGTTAGTTGATCGCTTGATCATTGTTTTTGTAAAATGGAATATAGAGATAGGAGAAGTAAAAAAGTTCCGTTAGATTTGCTTCTTATTTGTCCAAATTTGTCCCATTTTACTGTTTTTGTTTGGTAAGATAAATATGTAAAGATCCTTTTCTATTTCAGGTTTTAATCAGTAATGCTTCCCCCATCTCTTTTCCCTCAGTGTAAGCCTTGATCTCTCTTTTTGTTTGACCAGTTCGCTTCGTTTTCAGTTTGCTGCTGCTTAAAATTTAAATTTGCTCGCTTCGAAATCCTGTTTTCTCTTTTTTCTCTCGTGTATCCTCGGCAACAGTAATTTGTGTTTTGTGTTTTGGGCAGCAGGTGTGCGCCGATCACTTCTTTTTCCAGCTGCTCCTCGAGTGACCAACCAGATCGAAGGAGCGGCTACTCCGGCGACACGTGTTTGATTTCAAGTTTCCGCACCACGCATCCTGCGCAGGCGCAACTCTCCAAGTAAGAAACCGAATGGAAATGTTAATTATGTTTTTCTGCTTTCTGGTTTCTTTGCCTCACTGTCTTCTGTCTTCGGTCTTTTCTTTTCGGCGGCCTCTACCTGATTTTTATCTTTCGACATTTTCAAAGGCTACTCGCATTTTTGGAACGTGCTCGGCGTGCGTTCTTCAACCCAAAAAAAAAGCAAACGAAAAATGAAGAACGGGAAGAAATCATTGAAATGCGAGGAGCAGCTAAAGACTATTCAAATATTTTTGAGCCGGATATCGATACCCGAGTACCTTTCATCCTCCCTCGCTTACTTCCCATTCCAAGTATCGCAATGTTTTTTCAAGCGCCCTCAGTTTTTATGAAAGATAATGAAGTTCAGACTGGGTTTTATCTGCTCAGTGCCCTCGGTGGTATTTCTTGCCACTTTGGCCACATGTGGCATATGCGTCGCAATTAGGGTAAGTGCCCAGTGACATGTGACAAAAGGAAAAGCCAGGAAAAGCAGCTGAAGTGGCAAGTCCTTTAGGAGTGGGTGTATTGTCTCTACTTATGCAGATGATTTTTCAACATCTTTATCACACTTTGTTTGGAATGAACAGCAAAGAAATTAACTGGAGTTTCTTACAAGATTTACAGATATAAAGGAAGCAGATATAAGAAAGCTAATTTTAAATAAAATATTTCTTAGTTTTTCGTAGATATTAAGTTGATCTTATCCCCAATAAACCTGTTACTGATTTATTTATTTTATAAATTTTTAATTATATGTCTTAGAATCAAATGAACTGTTTTTATTGCGTTTGAGCTTTGATTGGAAAGGATATTTGATTTATTTGTTGATACCCTGATGCTTAAAAAAAATCAAAGAGAAAATTAACTTTAACACCCATCATAAAATCACAGCGATTTCTCGGAAGTCAGCAACCAAAGCTATAACCTAAATATATAAGCCGAATCTAAACCAATTAATCAGCACACAGGCAGCTGTAGAAGAGTCGTTTTTTAGTCTTCTCTCAAGGAAACATATGTTCCGACTAAAACGTGAACTCGTTGGACCCTAAGAAATCCATATCAGCAGAGTAAAATACAAAAAAGAAAACCGAACTTGATCGCAGTGGCAGCAGCTGAAACATGTTTCTTTGCTCCTCGTTTTTTTTTCGTTGTTGCTGCCTCGTCCCCTTTCTCCAACTCCTGACTCTCCCGCACGGATCTGTAGAAAGTGAAGCAAAGATGCCAACGCACTTAAGAAGAGCCACGTCGGAGGGTCGGAACAGATGTCGAGCAGACAATCGGGAAGAGGCATTAACATTAAAACATTGCCCCGAAAAAGGAGTTCAACGTTCAACAACAAAAAACTGGAGCGACATTTGAAAAATGCTGCGCAGGCGTAGAGTATTTCCCTTTTCCTTCGTCCTGCGATTTCTGGCTACAAAGGAAAAACCGTGACAGGCAGTTGGTTTTTTGCTCCCCCGACTATCTAGTGTGCGTGTAGATCCTTGGACCTTGAGGTCCTTTATCTAGGCATCACAAAGAAATCCGTTTTCGAAGCGGGAAATCACTGCGCAAACAACGAAGTACAGGGGCAGATGTTTTTCCCCGGCAGATAGAAAAGAATCCTAGCTACCTGCGTCCTGTTTCTCTGCAGGTGCGTGTGTGGTGTATCTGTGTGTGTGTGGTGTATCTGTGTGTGTGTGTCTAGTTTACCTGCAGATTCCATTTATAGAATTTCACATTTCTACGCATTTCACGCTTCCTGTCGAGAGTCCTTGTTGTACAGTCATCGCCCGAAAGTGCGTTTCATCTGTCTCTATTCTTTGTATTCCCATGTCTTGCTATCTCTTTCTATAGCCCGTCCCTTTCTAACTATCTTTTCCGCCTTGATTTACGACCCAAGGCAGTTTGAACAGCCTGTTGGATTTAATTTGAGACTCTTGAGCTTGCTTTTTGGGCAAATCCACACGCAGTTGCAGGATGCAGAGTGTCCTTCGCATAATGCAGTAATTGCTGTGGTCAAGCGTACGAATATACACAGATTTAAATGCAATTGCTGCAGGCAGAGGGGAAAATGCAAAATGAATTCCTCTTCAATTGACTTTCATGCAAATGCTTGGACAAAATAATGCTTTTAATAGAAGGTTTTGATGTGCATAATGGACAACTTTGGCCATTGTCAATCTTTCGGTTAATAATTTATGACAGGCTTTGAGGCTTGTAAAATTAATTTGTTTCTTGTTTGTTGGTTGTATAAAATAGCTAAATGAATTTAATAGTCTCAATTTCATCTTTTGTGTCAGTCAAATGGAGTTTAATCCCTCTTGGTTGTCAAATGAAATATATTTGAAATTAAAGTAAGATAATTTCATAAATATAAAAACATTTCTGACAAATATATTTGCCTTGGCCTAAGATATCCCTCCTTATCTACTTACGAAAGTAATTTAAAATGGTGTGCAAAGTATTTGAGTTGATGTTTTACTACTTACCCATAAAGGAGAGCTGCTCCAGCGATTCCTCCGCCACATTGAGCGGTCATGTACATGGCGGCCCTAATTGGAGATATAGAGCGAACCACGCAAAGAGCCAAAGTAACGGCGGGATTTATGTGGGCGCCTGAAAGTGGAAAAAATAAACACAGAAAATAATATAAAATAGCTTTAGATACTTGAGACAATTTCCAGCGGCCACCCAAACGGGTCCCTCCATTAACTATCACTTTGACACTGCTTCGGAAGGCATTTCTTTGGGGGAACCGAAGATAACATCATATCTTAATGCTCAACCAATTGGCTGTGAAAAAAGAGGGAATTGCCAACCGCAAAATGGGGGAGTTGCAGGCAAATCAACAACACATGTTTCAAAAAGCTACTTCTGCTTTTTCTTGGGTTTTACTCTTTTTTTTTTTTTTTGTTGGTTTGAAGAAGACCTTTAATTGCCTTGAATGTCAACGCAAATGAACAAATACATAAATACCAGAGCAAAATGCAGGGGAAATAAGTTGGGGAACTTGGACCGGGGGCGATAAGAAGTGAGTGCATTGGCTTTTCGAAAATATAGCAAACAAAGAACGGAGTTCGTGTTCGTCTTCTGGATTCTCCAATGGAAACGGGAGGTTCCCACGCAAGTCCCAAGTGCCCCCCATTCCCCAAAAAGCACTTGTCGCCCGGGTTTTGTTGATGTTTCGTTGCCAGCCCTTGTTTATTGTCTCCTTCTGATCCAACTCACCCGAGATGTGGAGGAAGCACTGCGTCAGGGTGGCCATCGCCAGTCCGGAGGCCATAGCCGTGGCCAGCACCACGGACGACAGGCTGGCTCCGATTCCCACTCCTGCGGCAGCTCCGCAGACGATGAACACGTACAGGAACGAGGCCAGACACTCGCTGATGATGGATCTGGAATGGGAACAGGAGCAGAAAAGAGTGGCATTAGGATGGTTCCGCAACTGAATTCGGTTTGCATGTGGCTCCACTGACTGACAACTGATTGCGAACAGTAGATATTGGTTAAAAAGAAACATAAATAGCTAAAAAACCCAAAGCTTTAACTGGGATTAAAATTTAATAGATATAAATATACATATGTAGGTACTTTGCAGGCAAATTTATTATTCTAAACTCATTATTTTGCATTAGATATCAAATCGTCCAATATATTACAAAAATATATAATATAATACAATATAATATATATGCATTAGAAATAAGAAACAGATTAAAATAAAAAAAATTTATAACAAATATAAAACAAACCAGCCTTAAATTTAATGAAATCAGTAATGTGCTTATGTATATTATCTTTTGTTTATTTCCAATTGTATTAATAAATATTTTGGAAGAATGTTTCTGCTACAAAAAAAAAAGGTTAGCTGATAATTACTGTACGTTGAAAATCAAGTTGTACAAAAAGCCCTTCCTTGTTGCCCTCAAGCATTGCAGTGACAATTAAGGAGGGGGTTTATGAGGGGGTGGCTGAGGGGGAAGGGTTTTGGGGCGGTAAGGGGGTTGTGGGGGGTAACAGCTGCAATGCCGCCGACTTCAGTTGGTTCCCGCTGGACGTGACGCCACTCGGATTCGCATTAAACTAAAAAAGAAGCGGAGTACGTTGCACGATAACGAAAAATCAAACAAACCGAGGGGGCAGATGAATTTCCATAAATTCATAAATTCAGCTGTTTGACTTTTGATGTCGTGCTCCTTCGCTGCGCTCTTTAATTGGAACTATATATGTACGTATACTTTAGCTCCTCCGACTCGTTTAATTCACGTTTTTATATTTTTTTTATTGGTCAGTGAGGAGAGGGAGGTGGAGACAAAGTGTCGCGTAGTTTAGTTGCAATTTTCCTTGCGCTCGACATGCCTCAAAAGCTTTCTCAAGCATTCGCTGCTGGCTAAGATTTAATTACTCCATCAGCTCGTGATGAAATGTTAATTATTCGCAAGTTCCTTCGGCCAAGGACTCGGTATGAGCCACAAAGTGCTCGAAAGTTTGCCGTGTTTAGTTTGACGATTATCTTAATGATGATGTCTGGGAGAACACTTGGATTTCAATTACTTAGAGTTCACACAAAGCCAGATGTCATCTTGCAATTGCCATCTAAAGTTGGGCAAATTGAAAGCAAGTGCATATAATGGCTATGAAAACAAAAGGTTCGAAGTGCATTTACACCAGAAAAAAGGTCTTTTGAGTGTAGTTAAAAAGGAGTTCTACAAATTTCCGTGTAGTTTGTTTTTTGGAGAAACAGCATTGAAAAGTTTACTGACCTTTGAATAACGTTTATCTGAAGGAACCTTTTTTTAAGACTTTGATATATTTATTAAAAAAATATTATTTATTTTTTGTTTGGTAGCTTATAAATTCTATTTAAAACAACATCAATTGTTATGAAATTTTTTGGTTTTTTATTTTTTTATATGGTTTGAAATTCTATCACATAATGGGTTCTATCTTCATTTTAGGATCTGAATTTTTGGAATTTTTTCTTTTATGCTCAGAACTTCTTTAAAGACGAAAACTTATGACAAAAAATTGCGAATTCCCTACTTGTGTCAAGAATTTGAGGATTAAATAATTTCATTTAATAATGAAATTTTCGCATTACAATTTAAATTAACACCTTTCTTGCACGAATTAATTACAATTTTGATGAGCATAATTAATTAATAATTAAACTCACCTCCAGAACTCCAGCGTGCGAATCTCGGCCTGCATGTTCCGCTTGGGAGCCTGCAGGGTGCTGGATAGCCGATTGTTGACCCCATGTCCTCCGCCGTGCGAGTCCTTACGCATCGCCTCGAGGCGCTCGAAAAGCGTGACGATGTGGTAGTCGATGTTGTGCTCCAGGGGCATGGTGTGCAGACTTTCGTCGGCCATCTCGGATGAAGAATGCGATTTGTTTATGCTTTTCTTAATTGAGTTGATGAAGTGAACTGAACACGCGACGAGGCGAAGAACTTGGCGAATCGTTGCTTCAGCTAGACACACATTTCGCACTCTGCAAATTGCACTCAATTTATGTCAATTGACGAGTTTTTGAACTTTCCACCGATTCAAGACGACCGATCCGTAGAAGTGATTCGACTCGAAAACACGTCCGTTGGCAAGCGCGATTGGTGAGCGAATAACGGATGCGAGGCAGGGTGCCTCGTCCACAGCTCTCGGGAACATGGTAGAATAACTTTACGCTAGTATCGTCGGTTATGAGGTCGTTCGGGTTTAGTCCGTTAACGTTCAGTGCACTCGTACCTATTCTACCATGGCCACAACACCACCCTGCGGCGATAGCGACTGAGGCAGCGGACCAGGTGCCCACTCCACCGACGCAGTGGTGGATAAGCATCCTCTGCACTGAAAACAAAACAGGTGAGTCGGTTGAACATATATTTATGTAGAAATAAGGGATCTTAAATTAATAAATTTATATTAGATAATTTTTATCCATTTATTATGTCAAAAAGAAAAGATATTTTTATTAAAACAAAGTTGTTGATCAAATAAACCTATATAAACCTTAAAATATTATCTGTTTGATATTTGTAGTAAATACCCTTAGCGTTTAATTTTTCGGTCTTGCATACGTTTTGTTAGATTTTGTTTTTAATGCATCTAAATATTTTTCATTAACGATTTCTATTTAAGTTTTGGTATAAGTTTATTAAATAGTTTTAGTTTTAATATTATAAATCTCTAAGAAAATGTTTTTAGTGTAACGGAACGTAATGGAAACAGAACAGTAGATCCTGTCAACCTGTTGGTGTCTCGGCTGTATATGTGTGTGGTGGCTTATACTTATCAACCACCCTTTCGACAAAATAACTAAAATAATAAGTTTGTAACTTGATTGCGCAGCACTGATCAATAACACTGATTCCATATTCCCTGCTCTTGAAATCTGGACCCAAAAATGATGACAATGATTATCGTGGTTGTGAGGATGATGATTATGATGGGGAACTCAGGCAGCTGGTCCTGGGAGCCGCTTTCATTGAAAGTATTTCCCTTTTTCGTCACATTAATGAAATGTAAAATAATCTGGCTCAATGGCCAAAAAACTTTGTTAGACGGGATGGGGTTGCCGTTTTTGAGGTTACCTTTAGGGCATAAACATAAACCTGATGTCGGTCTCATGACCAGCACACTTGATTACACCAAGAAAAAAATTATGTTGATGATTCTGGTTTTCTGTCTTCAATGTAATATTCATTAAATTAAGTTGATATTTTAAAATTACCGAAATTACCTTTACTCTTTTAAAATTATGCAAGAGATAGTGTGAAAGTGTGAAAGATATCATTTATTTAATAAAACTGCACTGTAATATGTATTTTAAAAATAGGTTTTTATTTAAAAAATTTCAAATATTATATTATAGTCTTTTATTTAGTATTTAGTGGTAAAATATAAGTTTAAAAAAATAACGAATACGCTTAACTTTTTCTGCAACTACAGCTCAATATTTTATATATCTATTTCATATAATCGGATCCAGCAGGTTCGACGAGCATTGCGGTCGTGGTATCACTATTTTTTGTTGGCAACCCAGGTCCAGAAACTCCAAAGGGCGATGCCGAAAAGCCCAACCTCGGCTCACATTTTACGCATCACTAAAAACTATAATTATGAGCCCTAACCACTTGATACCCTTACCTGTCAATTGTCAAGCTGTCCCCGTGTGCAAGCGACTTTTCAAGCCCAATGAGCTGTGAAAGTTAAGAAATTATGTTCGGCACTCGGGGGGCAGAGTGAAATCAATCACGCAGACTGCTTTTGGCCAGCCTACAAATCGTATGAAAAGAAAAGGGCTAAGGGAAAGCAACGAAAAGGAAGAAACATCAGCCGCAGAAATTTCGACACTGTGCACTTTATTTTATCCTTGTTTTTTTTTTCTTTCTTGCAAACTCTTGCAGAAAGGGGGGCGGTTAAAGGGGGCGTTGGAAGGACGTTGCCGTATAAGGCACTGTGAAGTTGGAGAACCACGATGATGATAATGGCGATGATGATGCGAAGGAGACGGAGACGACAAAAGGCCGGCTCTTCTGGCCTCTGAGCGTGGGAATTATTTTCGCACACTCTCTGTGTTTTTGCTTTTTTCACTCGCTTTACCTCGAGGTCGCACGGGGTCGTTCCTTTGGCTGGTCGGTCGGTCGAAGGTAATAATAAGATGTTTTGTTTCAATCACATCGTCGCTTGATCATCGTCATCATCATCAACGCAGTTCCTTCTGCTCGTGTGCATACGGTTTGTACCATAGGCGTAGCCAAAATAAAAATATATATCATTTAAATCATTTTGAAACTTGTCAACCTTAAAGTTTGATAAGATAATATAACTTTTTTGATTAAACATCTAAATCAAAACAAAAATTGCATTTTATTACTGGGCCCCCTTTGGCTACGTCCATGCTTTTAGTTATCGTGGGAGAAATAAACAGAGAGAGTAACCGAATACGTTCATCTCATTTTGGATACCTTTCTTGCTTTTGTTGTTGTTTACTCTTTTTTGTGGGAGAGCAAAAGGAATTGAAGATGAAGGAGACTGCCATTGCTTTTATCCTTTTTGTTCCTTTTTATTACTTTTTGGTAAGCTTTGTGATGTAGTGTAGTTTTTGGACCTGGTCATTCAACAGTTTAGACTAATATACGGTACAATTAAGGAGTTCACACATTTTTTAGCATCTACAAAAAAAGGAATATACGTAAACATTTCAAGATAGATTTTTATTTGGTAGCAGAGATAATCGATATGATTTTTTTTAACTTAAAATTTGTTTTGTTTCTCAGTGTAACAACTATGTCGTGGGTGAAGAAGGGGCTGTCGGGGGCCACTTTTGGAATTCTCTTTAGTGCAGGTTGCAGCAGTTGAAAATGGATATGGAGATGGCGATGAAGATGGTGTCACGATGCCTCGCCTGCTGGGTCAAAAAAAAAAAAGGAAAAAAAAGGGAAAGGGCCTGAGAAAAGTCTCCCGCTTTTCGGGAAGCTGTCGAGGAGGCAATCAGACTGCGATATTCCCGGCGAGCGTGCCCTGATATCATTATTAGAGATACGCCAGCCGAATCATATGAGGAGCTGATTTATGGTTGCCCTGCAACTTCTTTGGCTGGCAAACGAAGCCGTGACTTATGAGTGGATAAAGCGTGAGTTACCTGTCCAAATCCCCGGCCCTGCGATCTCCCCATCTCGGGATTTCCGTCAGGTACACTGGCCTTGCCCAGATGGATCGCCGATTCCGCTGGTTATTTTGCCAAAAACTTAACAAGGTCAACATTTTTTTCGTTTGGTTTTCCTGTTGTGTGGGAAAAAAATAACTGGCTGGAAAGTGGAGGCGTTTTGCCAAAATTCGGAGGCGGAACACATAATAGATCAGATTTTTGGTGAAAAAGGGCTTTGAAATAAATTAGTTCGAAAACTTCAGTTAAGTGGACTATGTGGGTTTAGGATATATATTTTTAGATTTCGATTAAAAGGAGTAACATAGAAATTTATTTCTTCTTCCAATCTCTTTAAAAGAAAAATAATATATACCCCTTAATTCTACAAAAAAAAAGCATATCATGACGAGACAGTTTTTCTCATGCCCTTAAACCCTTTGACCTGCGACAATGAAAAGCACTAGAATCTAATTCACATGATGCTGAGAACATCAGCATATGCAAATCCGGAGAATAACACGATTTCTGGGCTGCTGGGTTAGCGCAAACAGATAAAAAATTCCCGAATCGGAGGAGTTGCAGCCGGTGCTTGACACGTGCCCCACTTGCAACCCTTTCCCATTGTTGCCCGGCTCACTAATGACGCGGCATTATTTTGCATATGGACACAGGACTCAGAACTCAGGACACAGGATTCAGGACTAATGAACTGAAACATGCGCGACTGTTACAGTTACGATAATTTATGCATGTGATACCACCATTGACTTTGGTCGCAGGATTCGGAATGATGCGATTGTTGTCAGTTACTTTGCTGCAGCGATGGTCATGATCTGCCACAGCAATTAAGTCCGAAAAAGGGTTAGACAGAGGTCCGGTACAAAAAGTTTGTGGTGGTGTTCCGAGTCCTGCACTTGCAGGCGCCTGAGGTTTCCTGGTCATCCGGCACAGGTGCGAAAGTTCCTGCGACTGTGGTTTTTGGTCAAAGTGAAAGCCAACCAACGAGGAAGAGTTCACTGAAAGAACAATTGGAACCCAATAAAAACATTAACTGAAAAGTAAAAACTAAAAAGAACATAAACTTATTCATGTAAAGAAAAAGATTTAAATACGTACTTTAAATGTATTATTATTATTAAAATTGTATTTCATTACCCGTTTTAAGTCATGCAAATGTTTACTTATTTTTGATTTAAATATATATTTTATGCTTAGAACTACATGTTTTTTAAAACTCGACCTAACCTCTTACTGAAGACCCTCGCCCACATGCTCGAATTTCGGTTTTTATATGGATGAAAAATAACCGGCTGACGTTAAAAACTCTAAAATGGTCCCCGATCATTAAACGCACAGATTCGATTGTTTGTCCAGAAGAGCAATCCATAAAAACGTCCGCAGCATCGCTGAAAAAAAGATTGTCCAGGACAAACTGCAAACTCAATCGCAATCAATAGACCGCCTTGAACAAATCGATTTTCGGTTATTAGCCGTCACACAGTCATTAAAAATTTTGACAGATTTTGACAATTTATTGATGTTGCCAGTGGCGTGCACAAAACACGCGGCAAAACACAAACAATCAAAAAATTTACAGAATCGAAAAAAACCGATCCGATGGCAAACGTTTGACCTGTACAAATTGCAAAAATTGGACAAATGTTTGTCCTTCCATCTGCAACTTTCGAGTGGGTGAGATGCAACTCCAACCCCAGAGATTTTAATAGCAACCCTCGGGGCGCGCGATAATTTGATTAATTGAAAGTCAGAAGACCTTTTTTTTGCGGTCCCAGGGAAGGGTTTGTTCGGAGTACTCGATATTCGAATGGTTCGAGTAGAAGGAGGGTGTTTTTGCGGTCGGTGGCGTGAGTAAACGATCCCCGCGGGTTGCTTCAAGTAGCTCTATTGTATTCACATTAGCGGGCTTATCCAACCCCCGCCGATTCGGTTTTATTCTCGAGTGTA